GGAATTATGTTCCTAGTTTCTTTCTTTACTGATTGTATTAGTCAGGGTTCTTACAGGCATAGAACTTTATGGAATGTCTCTTTATATTGCGGGAATTTATTGTGATGGCTTATACAGTCTGTAGTCCAACTAACCCAACAATTGTCAGCTGTGAACGAGAAGTCCAAAAATCTAGTAGTTGCTCAGTCTTAGGAGGCAGCTTGTTTCAGCCAGTCTTCTGTAGTAGTAGGTTCCAACAGATGTGCTGTAAGTGCAAGCAGTTGAAGAAAAGTGAATCTTCCTTCTTCAGATGTCCAGCAGAAAGTATGACCCAGATTAAACATGTGTACCACCATGCCTAGATCTGGGACTTGCTTAGTCCCATGCTGACCTTGAACTCAGAGATCTCCTTGCCTCAGACTCCTGGGAAAAAAGGCGTGTACTACCTTGCTTGGGCCTAAGCTTTTCATGGCCACTGTGCCTCAAGATCTCCAGGCCAAGATACAAGTCAGAAATTTGTGTCTTCCAGCCTCAAGATCTGGATCACAGGTGAGCCCTCCAGTTCTGGATTGTAGTTCCTTCAAATGTAACTCAAGCTGACAACCAGGAAGAGCCATTACACTGATGTTTTGCTGTGAGTGTACAGACAAGGGACTGATTGTATATGTTGACTTCTCTATCCACCAACTTCACTCACATTTTAAATTAAAACAGCTTGTGAAGGTTTAGTGTTTCTAAATATACAAGTATGTCAAACGTAAGCAGGTAATATTTATTCTGCAGTTTATTTTCTTTGCCTAATTCCTCTGGCCATATTTCTATATTGTCAAAGACAAGTACTGAGAATAGCCCCCCTTGTCTTGTTCCTGTGAAAGAAAAACTAAGTGTTCTCCATCAAGTATAATGCACACTGTCTTAAGGTTTTTACTGCTGTGAGAAGACACTATGACCAAGGCAAGTCCTATAAGGACAACATTTAATTGGGGCTGGCTTCCAGGTTCAGAGGTTCGGTCCATAATCATCAATGTGGGAGCATGGCAGCATCCAGGTAGGCATGGTGCAGGAGGAGCTGAGAATTCTACATCTTCATCTAAAGGCTGTCAATGGAAGACTGACTTCCAGGCAGCTTGGATGAGGGACTTAAGTCCACACCCACAGTGATACACCGACTCCAACAAGGCCACACCTCCTAATCATTCTATTCCCTGGGCCAAGAATGTACAAACCATCACACACTATGAGTGTGCCGTGTATCAGTTAGTTGTGTTGATGCGCATTCTTACTGTAACCACATACATTAGTGTGTCACTGATGACCCAGCTATCCAATAGTATCTGCCATCCATCCTAGGAATGCAGTAACCTCACATAGAGATCTCACAGCATGTAGCCCCATAGTTAAGTAGCGCATGACTCTATACCTAATCTGCAGAGTTGTTTTTGTTTGTTTTTTTTTAATCTGAAAGTATGCTGGATATATTACCAAAAGATATTTCACACCTACTGAGAGGTAGTCATGATTATAACCCTTCATTTTTATAAATTATTGTATGATATTGATTAATTTGTTTATGCTTGTCTCTCCTTGCATCTTATGAGTAAATGCCACTTTAGTGTGCAAGCCTTCTGCATGCTGCCAATTTGCTAAGAACAATTACACCTATGTTTATTGGGAATATTTTCTGTATTATTTATTTGTTTGTTTGTTTATTTATTTATTTATTTTAATCTGGTTGTCCAGTAATGCTATCTTATAAATTGAACTGAGAAGTTTTTCCTTCTCCTGAATATTCAGAGTGTCTGGGAAGGGGTGACTACAACCCCTCTTAATGACTTGGTGTCAACTGCTCCATCTGTTAGGTCATTAGGAGGTCTCTGACTCATGACTCAGTCCTTTACTTAATCTTCTTCTATTCAGACTGTGTCTTAGGGTTTTGTTGCTGTGGACAGACACCATGACCAAGGCAACTCTTATAAGGACAACACCTAATTGGGGCTGGCTTACAGGTTCAGTTCAGAGTTCAGTCCATTATCATCAAGGCTGGAACATGGCAGCATCTAGGCAGGCATGGTGCAGGAGAAGCTGAGAGTGCTACATCTTCATCTAAAGGCTGCTAGCAGAATACTGGCTTCCAGGCAGTTAGGATGAGGGTCTTATAGCCCACACCCATAGTAACACACTTACTCGAACAGGGCCACACCTTTTAATAGTGCCACTCCCTGGGTGCAGCATAGACAAACCACCACAAACTGCTTTCTGACTGGGTCTTGGTGGACTGTGCTTTTCTAGGAGCGCATCTATTGCTATGGGCTATCTCAGTCAATGGTTTGTCCTTGCTTATAATATCCTCTTACAATCATCTGCACGTCTGTGGTATGATTTGTAATGTTTCATTTTCTTTCATTTTGTTTTATTGATTTGCAGCATTTGGCAACAGAGGTTTGCCAGCTTTATCTTTTCTCTATCTTCCCAGTGCTTTGCATTATTTCTATTGTTTGTACATTACCTCTTAATTCTGATCTCCTTTCCTATGCTGAGTTTGGGCTTCATTGATTTTAAAGTCTCCTGGGTTATACAGTTAAGCTTCTTGGTGGAAAGCGCTCTTTTGTGTTGACATAGGAGGTTATTCTATAGACATCCTCTTGGCATTCTCCTCTTATTCCTGTTCTTTGTTTGTTTCTATTTAATCTGTCTTTAGATTCTTATTCATTCTGTTTTTCTTTCCTTCTTTGATTCTGGGCATTCTGGAGCATGTTCTTTTAATTTCCATGTTTGTGAATTATATAGAATTCCTTTTGTTATTTATCCCTAGTTTTTAACACTGAGTTCAGAAATGGTACTTGCTGTGGTGTCACTCAGCACAGCCCATTAGGAACCTTATCACAGTCAGGCAAGGTGTTGATTACTCCATGATGCTTCTTGAGGTATACTATATATGATATCTAAAGTGTCTCAGGGTGGATTTTCATTTCTACTTACTATAGAAGAAAAAATATGAAATTTCTATTAAAAATCATTCAAAATTTTAGAGATGTAATGTGTCTTTTCTATCTATGGGTAGAAAAATCTGTAGGGAATAATTTATATTCATTATATCAAAGTATGACTTCTTTCAGATGGAGCTCATAGAAAAGGAACAAGGAATTTGTGAGAAGTCTAATGTGCATATTTTACCCATGTTGCAATTGAAAGGGACTTCCAGGAAGATTCTTATTAATCATTTGAAGTGTCAGGTATTAAAAGTTGTTATGTGTATATCAAACGTCTTTCCTCAAGGCTCAAGAAATGTCACAAAGGAGAGAGCAGGAGATTGTAGGAGCATTGTGGTGGCCACCTTCTGGGAAACACTGTTTTCAGGACGAAACAGGGCAGTTAAATGTGTTAAACTGACATGGATCTCAACAGTACATACAAGGCCTGCTCAAGCTAAAGACAGACAAAACCCCAACTTGAAGGAATTAGTTAGTTGGGGGTGAAATCCAAGCCCAATTGAATAGTCATAGCATTTGGGAGTTGCTAAAGAAGAGAATCAGTTTTTATTGATGATGTGAACCACAGGGCAGACTCTAACCCAAGGACAGACCTAAACCAAGGTCGGACCTAACCCCAGGACAGACCTAACCCCAGGACAGACCTAACCCCAGGGCAGACCTAACACCAGGGCAGGCCTAACCCTAGAGCAGAACCAACCCCAGGGCAGATCCAGGGCAGGTCTAATCCCAGGGAAGACCCAATACCTGGGTTGGCCTAACCCCAGGGTAGACCTAACCCCAGGGTAGACCTAACCCCAGGGTAGACCTAACACCAGGGTAGACCTAACCCCAGGGTAGACCTAACACCATGGTAGACCTAACACCAGGGTAGACCTAACCCCAGGGCAAACCCTACTCCCAAAGTAGTTGGGCTACACAAACTGAGGTCAATCTTTTGGTGTTGTTTTTTTAAAAAATAAATAAATATAAAAAAGGAAAACTTGAAGACTAAGTAGGTAGGGAGGAGAAGGTGGATTTGAGAAGGTAACTATGATTAAAATATTGTATAAAATTCTCAAAGGGTTGATAAAATATTAACTTAAAATTGTTTGTGAACAAAATGGATATATATTCTGTGGCTTTATTTCATATTCATGTTTTTCTTATTTCCCTTCCTCTCTCCCTCTCTCCTCCCTCTATCCCTCCATCCCTCTCTTCATTCCTCTTTCCCTTCCTTCCTTTCTTTCATCCTTCCTTATTCTTTTTTTCTTTCTTGTACTTATTTCTTTCTGATTCAATTTATTCAGAAAAGAGTCGTGCCTTCTTTACACAGTTTCAAATGATGTCCCGATGACAGCATAAGAAGCCCAGCTTCAGCCCAGACAATTCTCTTCTAGCCTAAGTCTCAGCGTGCACATTTCAAGACTACTTTTAATGTTAATATAAAACAGCTAATTTGATTATTTTGTAAAAGGCTTAACTTGAACAAATGCTTACTAAATCCTAAGTATAACTTGTAATATTTGAAGGGCATTATGAAGACGGGTGAGAAAGAACAGCGAATGTGTTGTTGCAATGGGAAATGGTCCTGGGGTAACATGTCTTCCATACTCTCTCTGTATTTATAGAGAAAGAGGCTAGCTGTCTGTGTTTAAGTGGAAGAGCCAGTGGAATACAGGGGCCACTCAAGGTTTACCAGTTACCTATGTATTCACATATACTTGTTCTGGGACCTCAGTTAAATGTGTGAATGTAATGGAAACTAGATACAGTGTTCTCTTTGGGACACTAATTAAACTAACAAAGGTTATTCATAATCATTTTCTCCTTAGCATTTCTTTCACAGTCATCAGGGGAGCTCTTGGAAGAGATGCTACCATAATTTATTGTCTTTTTTTTTTTTTTAAAGAAAATACACAGTTGACATATTTTTCTTTTCCTTTGGAGACTACACTTTAGGGTGGGTATTTATAGACATTAGTGGAACAGAGACAGCCAGCCCTCATGAGCCTCAGCATCTTTGTGTGATAAGTGCCTCATTCATTGCAGGACTGTTCTCTTCACCCTGACTTCTGTGGTGGTACTTGTCATCACAACCGACTGGATCAGCTGGGACAAACTGAACCGTGGATTTCTGCCCAGTGATGAGGTTTCCAGAGCCTTCCTTGCGTCTTTCATCTTGGTCTTTGACCTCCTTATCGTGATGCAGGTGAGTGTCCCAGTTCCCTATTCTCTCTGAAGTTGGTCTCTGCGTTCTTCTCAGGGTAAGCGTGGGCTCTACACTTCGAGAGAAGAACGTAGTTTACGGTTGTGATTAATGGGCCCTTCTCTAATCAGATCCTCAACAGCTTTCCTGGGCAGAAAAGACACCTGGTGCATGTGTGTGTGTGTGTGTGTGTGTGTGTGTGTGTGTGTGTACCTGTGTGACAAAAAAGAAGAAGGAGGGAGAGGGAGAGGGAGGAAGGGAGAGGGACAGGGAGAAAATTCGTTTTATGAATATTCTTATGTGAGGCCTGGAAATAATGTGTTGTTATTGATGTTGTTGTTGTTATTACTACTACTAGGTATCCCTAGGCAGGGATGATGCAGGAAGTAAAACAAGACAAAAATAGAACTGCCCCCCCCCACTGTCATATGGTGAGCAGAAAACTCAAAGATCAAAATGGTAGAAAGCCAGCAATCTAGTGAAGAAAAGCCATTGTCAAAGCAACCCGGGGTTACAGCCATTGAAACAGAGCAGTGTGGAAGTGCTTTTCTGGTTATGAAAATGATCATTTTCAGTACTCACCAGAGACACTTCCATTTCACATAAACCATATTTCCACCCTGCTTAGCAATAGATATTTTTGTAAAGCATCACTGTGCTAGTGGGTGTCACTGGTGCTAGCCGCTGGAGTGAGCGTTTGGAGTGTGGGAGTGTTCTTTTGAATGAGACAGAAGGAGACATTTTCTATTTCTCGGTGCTTTATCTTGCTCATTAAATGTCTATCCATTTGCCAGACATTTTTGTATTGCTTTCATAAGGCAGTTTTGCTTCCCCTCCTGAGGCTCTGTAAGTCATGAGCACAATGGCTGCCATCGCCAAAGGGGAAGGAAACTCCATTGTGTTCTGAATTTATGTGAGATTTTGCAGGATAGCAGATTGGTTTTTTTGTTTCTAGAGGCAAAGAGGGGCCTTTATGAGAGAGCTATTGTGTTGCTGAAAATCAGAACAATAGTGTTTTGTTTTGTTACATATGCTGGGCATTGGCTTCCATGTGGTACTTACAGTGTATCACTGCTTCTAATGGGTTGTATTTTAAAATGCATTATAGTTTAAAACTATCTGAAGACATAGGCTTGGAAATGTTTGTCTCTTCTAGAAACAAATATGGTTCTTTTTCGTTTTCTTCAAGACACTAGCATGGTGAAGAGATCCTTGGGCATGTGATCAGGCATCACTGATGGGCTCCATTGAGTACTGTATTAGCTGTAGGACCTATTCTTCAGGGCTGCAATCTGAGTTTTTAACAATTATGCAATAATATATCATACATTACTGTATCAAGTCCATTTTATCTTACTCTGTTTCCTAATTAATATTCCTCCTAATGTTAAGTTCTCACTCTGGTTAAACAGCACAGTGATACTTCCTTGACCCCATTTTAGAGTCAGAGGTACAGGCAGCTGAATCGACTGTTACTTCCTCGAATTTGTTCAGATTTGTGTGCTGCTTCCTCTTCAAATGACACTGCAAGCTCTCCCTTCTCCTGTGCTCATGCAAATTTTAAGTATTCCTCCAAGTAAGTTTACTAAAGCCAAGGACTTCCAGTGGGAAAACACAGTATTAGAATTTATACAAATTATAGATTCATCCAAAGAGTGCTCAATAAAGGCAAACAGATGAGAGGAAAGCTACCCAGGATTTATACTCTCAGAGAGAGCAGGATTGCAACGCAAAAGGCCTTCTACGACGCTTTTTTCTTTCAACACATAAAAATATACAGTCAGTAAAATGCTGACGTGTCCAGAGTAGCCAGAGACCAGTTGACAAGATGAAAGGTCTGTCCTGAGGAATAACTCAATTTCAACTATGTTGGCTGCAAGGAATATGGAGCCTGCTAATGCAGTTTCATCAGAGGAAGAAAGGGACATTGTGGGCATCCCGTGAGGAAGGGCGCCATTGTCTCTTCAAAGAGGGGACCAACTGAGTGAATAGAAAACAGATCCAGATCAAGCCTTTCTTCCCCACCCCTCATCTTTGTTTCTCTCCTACAGCAAGGCAGCATCTTTGATTTTCTGTTTATAAGGAGGCAAAGGGTCATGGCTGGCACCCCTGCGGGTGACCACAGTCCAGTCCCTGTGCTCCATGCTGATTCTCTAGGGGCTGTTCAGCACCAATGCCCAAATGACAGATCAGTGTAGGAGACTGCATGACCAGGGATAGAGATGTAGTTTAAAAGAAAAGAAGAAACTGGGTCCTGAAAACTCAAATTATAGATATTTACTAAGAAGAAGAGGCATTGAGATGAGTCTTTAGAAGTAGAACTCTAAGATCTTTAGCTGTCCTCCAAGGGCATGTCACTCCATGGGGTTGACAGATGAATCCTTCTCCATCCTCAGTGTCTCAACATTTCCTTCTCCTTTCTCTGCTCTTATCCCAGTATGGAGTTTCCTCTATACCATTTAAAAGAACCAATGAGACTGTCTTCCTTCTCTTCCCTTCCGCCATATGCTCTAAATTTCATAATCTTCCAAGAAGAAAGGACTTGTGTTTTACAAGCTACTTTTCAGCCACAAACATTATCAGCAGCTCTTCCTGGTCCCAGAATGAAGTTCCTAACTCATCCCTTATCCCTCAGGACCTCTGTTGTGTAGTGCTTCCTATGGTCCATCCCACTCCACACTGAACGTCTTCGTTCTTCATCCCAGGTTGTTTATTCCCAGGATATCCAGGAGCCTTTCTCCTGGCCAGACTGTTTTCCCTGCTCTACAGAGCATTGAAGATGATAGTCCCTTTTCTGGAAGGCACATTGTTACGTCCCCACTGGCCCTTTCAAAGCACATTTCACCACACTGCAGATCAGCATGCTTCCTTCTCCTCGCTCCTGTGTTCCTTACTCTCGTTACTGCAGCACCTTTAGTGCACAGGAGTAGCTCAAAATACTTGCTTGGTAAGGATGGACAGATAGAAATTCAGGTCCAAGTATTGTATGCCTCACTCAGAAGTTCTGGACCCAGCACATGTAGGAAGGGTGCTAACTCAGGAAATGGTCTCAGAATGCATATGTGCTTCTAGCTCTTGAAAAAGCAGCATACAGATGTCCTAATGAGTTCGTGACCAACCAAACTGTGAGCCAATTTGTGCCATGGTCACGCTTCAGGTGAAAGAAAAAATGGAAAATTAGTAAAATCGGGGAAATGGAAAGGGTACTTTCCTTAAGAGCTCCAGCCTTTTAGAACATTTGAACGATTGAAAAGCAATTTATTCTAGGCTTTTCTAAAGGCAGGTGATTGCTACCTGCACTAAAGAAAAAAATGGTGCCACATTTGAATCAAAAATTAAATACAGTGTTAGACTTTTCTTCCTGGTGCCTTGGGTTAAAGCCAGGGCTACTGTGTGTTAAGCCTGGGTTCTACCACTTCAGCCCTAGGAACGTGATATTATTTCTACAAAGGCTTCATTTTTAAGAAAATGAGTAAAACAGAATGCATCTTTGGGAAGAAATATAATTATTTTGTGTACATTCATGAAATTGGATTTTCTACATTTATCATTAAAACTCCTTGTTGTTTCACATTCTCTGTGGTTTGGGTAAAGTAATCAGAAATAAGACAAAAGCAGATTCCAGGAAATGACTCGTAAGATCAATGTGTTACAGGACATGAGTAAAGTTTGTAGAGAATATCTGTTTTAGGAAAATTTTATCCCGTATTCCCCTTACTGTCTTGGTGACATCATTCAATCTCTATGCTTTCCCTCATTCCCCTGCTCCCCCGTGTTTGGTTTTCAGTGTGCACCGCCCACTCTTTCTGATCAGTTGATAAAAGGAGTTGAAACAGATTGTGGAATAGACAAGTAGAAAGTGTCAAAAGAATTCCCAAAAGAAAGGTGAATGCAGACAGGAGTAGATGGAGGGGCTGTTCAATGAGCCAATGAGAGTGGAGGGTGGTGAGACTAAATAGGGGACCAATCAAGGACCACATCCTCTAGGGCAGCAATATCGTTATCCAATAAGATCTGCTCTGTTCGAGTAGGACAGGAAACACAATAATTCCTGTTGTATATCTGGGGAAAGAAGACAGAGGAAATGGGGTCTGAAGATTCCAAGGATATAGTCTACAGAGCCCATGGGTACATGGCATGGTTTATGGTCTGATGGAAGTATGGGGCTGGTTAATTTTAGAGAGGATGGCCAATAATAATTCTTTGAGTAGAAAGTTCTCAGCAGTGTTCTTTTCACTTTGGAAATCCTTCTCTGCTCCTCTTCATTTCTGTGTCTAACATGGAGGGTGGTAAGAAAGGAAACTCGTCTACATACAATAAGGGAAAGTGTGTGTCTATGTGTGTATATGTCTGTGTATATGTGTGTTTGTGTGTGTGTCTATGTGTGTATGTCTGCATTTATGTATGTGTCTGTGTATGTGTGTGTGTGTATCTGTCTGTGTATAAATATATCTATGTGTGTATGTCTACGTGTATGTGTGTGTCTGTGTATGTGTGTGTGTGTATCTGTCTGTGTATAAATGTATCTGTGTGTGTATGTCTCTGTGTATTTGTCTGTGTGTATGTCTGTGCATGTATTTCTGTGTGTGTATGTCTGTGTGTGTGTTTGTGTCTGTGTCTGTGTGTATGTCTGTGTGTGTCAGTGTATCTGTCTGTCTGTGTGTCTGTGTGTGTGTTAGACCAGAAATGGAGGGAGGGGATGGAAGGAAGAAGATAGGCAGGAAGAAGAATAGAAAAACAAGTGTGAGGAACCAAAAAGAAGAGGGGCGGTGAGTAGAATTCTCCTGTCTGTGGGGAGCAGTAATGGGCAAGGTAGGCGATGACCCAGACCATCGGGCCTGATGGCGTATGTCCATTCTTCAGTTTCTATCTGTACTCACCTCCCATAGATGGTTTATATAACTGGACTCAGGAGACTTGCTAAGAGACTATTATAAAGACAATTAAATTGTCTAACTAGACTGATGTAATCTAATGGCAGCAGTTTAACAAGTACACAGGAA